TTGCCGGCTAGGCAGCATTTATTGCCCATCCCTAATTGCCCAGAGGGCAGTTCAGAGTCAACCACATTGCTGTGGGCCTGGAGTCACATGTAGACTAGACCAGGTAAGGATAGCAGTTTTCTTCCCTAAAGGACATTAGTGAACCAGGTGGGTTTTTCCAACAATCGGCAATGGATTCATGGTCATCATTAGGTTCTTAATTCCAGATTTTTTTTTACTGAATTCAGATTCCACAATCTGCCGTGGCGGGATTTGAACCCAGGTGCCCAGAATGTTATCTAGGTCTCTGGATTAACAGTCCAGTGATAATACCACGAGGATTGGGATCCCACAGGGGAAGCAATCCCCTGATGGGATTGTACTGTTAGCTTCCCCCATCAGTCAGCAGGAAATTGAGGAGCAAATATATAGGGAGATCACAGATAGTTGTAAGTGGCCCCTCTCAGACTACTATTTCCTTCCCTGGCTGCAGGGCCCAAAATTGAACATATACCCTAGGGATGGTCTAACCACATGTCTGAAACATATCAGAGCAATTTTCCCACAGACACATCAAGACAAATCTTTTTCCTTCCTGAGACAAATGCTCATGATATTCAGATCTTGAGGACTCCACTGACTCTGTCAGAACTTATTTTGAGACACTAGTCTACAAATTATTTTCAAATAATATCCTGCAAAATGAGTTTTTTTTCCTGTCATTTGTGGGATGTGGGCATCGCTGGCTGGCTGTCATTTCTTGCCCATCCCTAGTTGCCCTTGAGAAGGGGGTGGTGAGCTGCCTTCTTGAACCGCTGTAGTCCACCTGCTGTAGGTTGACCCACAATGCCATTAAGGAGAGAATTCCAGGATTTTGACCCAGTGACAGTGAAGGAACGACAATATATTTCCAAGTCAGAGTGGTGAGTGATTTGGAGGGAAACTTGGAGGTGGTGGTATTCCCATATGTCTGCTGCCCCTGTCCTTCTAGATGGAAGTGGTCGTAGGTTTGGAAGGTGCTGTCTGAGGATCTTTGGTGAATTTCTGCAGTGCATCTTGTAGATAGTACACACTGCTGCTACTGAGCGTCGGTGGTGGTGGGAGTGGATGTAGTGCCAATCAAGTGGGCTGCTTTGTCCTGGATGGTGTCAAGTTTCTTAAGTGTTGTTGGGGCTGCACTCATCCAGGCAAGTGGGGAGTATTCCATCACCCACCTGACTTGTGCCTTGTAGATGGTGGACAGGCTTTGAGTCAGGAGGCGAGTTGCTCGCTGCAGTATTCCTAGCTTCTGGTCTACTCTTGCAGCCACAAAAGAGTTCAGAAGATTCAGAAAAATGACGGTCAGCCCACAATAAAAATCCAGAAACCTTCCTCTTGGTTTCACTTTGCGGCGTGTAAATCATCTCTAAGTCAGCCCAACACCCACCTAGAGATGAGAAGCATATGTATGTGCGCTGCTGTACCTTGTCCCCAGTAAAGATGGCAGTGGTAGCCCAGGGCGTTTCAGCGCCTGAGGTCTGCAGCCGCTTTTCTGTTTGCTGCAAAAGTGGGATCAAGAATTTATAATTTGGGTTAAGTGTCTACACCTGTGTTTATAAAACATCCCAATCCACACTGACTCAATTTTTCTCCATGCCTGCTGATCCTGCCCCCCATTCCTGTCTCCTTACTTCTAATACTTACTCAGGCAGCAGTCACAGCGGCACTGCGCTTGTAGAGTTGATAACCGCGCATCATCCTGCTGGACCCGCCCCTCACCCGCTGATTGATTGGAAGACCACCTGAGCCCACATCGTTTGCCAGTCGCGCCTACTCTCCTCCTATTGGTCTCTGACCTGCCAATCAGCCAAGCCCCACTGTGAGCTAAGTGGCAGGAGGCGCCCTGTCTACTGTGCAGGGGTAAACTTCATCATTCACAGTGAATGGTGCAGAATCACAGAGCATAGGGGGCTGCTGGCCATTCAGCCCATTGGGGCCATACTCTCTCACTCGAGAAACGCTATACCAACTCCTGTGCCCATTGCCTTGGCCTGAAAATCTTTCCTTGACAAGTTAAATTCCAAATCTCTCTTGAGAACAACTGCTTCGAGTTGCTGTTCAAACTGTTCAAGACCCTCAGAACTTACCCAATAAAATAATCTTCTCATTTTCACACCGTATTATTTGCCAGTTATCTGAAAGGGCATAGAAGGGAACATAGGACTGGGATATCATGGCTGTTACAGAAAAATGGCTGAAGGAGGGCGAATGCTCCAGCTGCAATAGTATGGATAGAAGGGGAGGCCAGAGAGGAAAGGGGTGCCACGTTTTTGATTATGGAAAACATCATCCACTACTTAGGATGTTACCAAGGGATCATTCAGTGAAGATATATGGGTGGAATTGAGAAATAAAAAGGGATGATCACTTTGACGGGATTGTACTGTTAGCTCCATCAACAGTCAGCAGGAAATTGAGGAGCAAATATACAGGGAGATCACAGATAGCATTATGAAAAAAGAGGGTTGTAATGGTATGACATTTTAACTTTCCAAACATAGATTGGGACTGTCATAATATCACGAGCTTGGAATGAGGAGGAATTTCTTTACTGTGTTCAAGAAAACTTTCCCAATCAATATGTAGATGGCCCTCTTAGAGAAGGGGCAAAACCCAACCTCCTAGTATATAAGAAATAGGAGCAGGAATAGGCTATCTGCACCATCGAGCCTACTCTGCCATTCATTAAGACCATGGCTGACCTTTTCACGTACTCAGCTCCAATTACCCGCCCGCTCACCATAACACTTAATTCCTTTACTGTTCAAAAATTTTTCTATCTTTGCTTTAAAAACATTCAACGAGATAGCCTCAGCTGCTTCACTGGGCAGGGAATTCCAGATTCACAACCCTTTGGGTGAAGAAGTTCCTCGTCAACTCAGTCCTCAATCTACTCCTCCTTATTTTAAGACTATGCCCCTTAGTTCCAGTTTCACCCACCAGTGGAAACAACCTCCTTGCTTCTATCTTATTGATGTTATCTATCTTGTATAGTACTCTAAGGTTCACTCATCCCCCCAACTCCAACATTCTTCTAAATTTCAATGAGCATAGTCACAGTCTACTCAACCTGTCCTCATAAGGCAAATATCTCAGTTCTGGAATCAATCTAGTGAACTTCCTCTGCATCCTATCCAGTGCCAGCACATCCTTTCTCAAGTAAGGAGGCCAAATCGTAATAGGTGTGGTGTGGCCTGACCCAACACCCTGTACAGCTGCAGCATAACGTCCCTGTTTTTGAACTCCATCCCTCTAGCAACGAAGGACAATATTCCATTTGTCTTCTTAATTACCTGCTGCACCTGCAAACCAACTTTCTGCGAATCATGCACAAGGACACCCATGTCCCTCTGCGCAGAAGCACAGGAATCTCCACTTGGGAAATAAACCTGGGCAAGTCTCTGGGCATTTTCCGACCAGTATCTAAGACCATAACGGGATCTTGGTCAATAGGGCCAGTGGGTTGAGGAATGGCAGATGGAGTTTAGAAGTTTTGCATTTGGTGAAACAAGCTAATGGTAGGACCTTGGAGAATGTTGTAAAACAAAGAGACCTAGTGGTGCAGGTACTTGGTTCCTTGAAGATGCTGTCACAAGTAGAAATGGTGGTGAAGGCTGCATTTGGCAACTTGTTTTCATCAGTCAGAGCACCGAGTACAGGAATTAGCTGTACGATACATTGGTGAGGCCACATTTGGAGCACTGCATACAATTTGGGTTGCCCTGCTACAGGAAGGATGTTATTGAACTGGAAAGGGCGCAAAAAAAGATATTTCCAAGACTGTAGGGTTTGTGCTATAAGGAGAGGCTGGATAGGCTGGGACTTCTTTCCCTGGATCATAGGAGGTTGAGGAGTGATGTTATTGAGGTTTATAAAATCACGAGGGGCATAAATAAGGTGAATAGCCAAGGTTTTTATCCCAGTGTTGGGGAGTCCATAACTAAAGGGCATCTGTTTAAGGTGAGAAGGGAAAGATTTAAAAGGGACCTGAAGTGCAATCTTTTCTCACAGAGTGTGATTTGTATATAGAACAAGCTGCCAGAGGAAATAGCAGAAGCGAGTACAATTACAACATTTAAAAGATATTTGGACAGGTACACAGGCAGGAAAGGTGGAGGGGGGCAGGGTCAAATCCAGGCAAAGGGGTCTAATTTAGTTTCGGAAACCTGGTTGGCATGGATGAGTTGCGCCAAAGGGTCTTTTCTCGTGCTGAATGACAATAAAAGCTGTGTTCTACGGTTACCAAAAATTGTGACAATGTTAATAATTTCTCTTTCTCTGCAAATGAAAACCATGGAAATGTTTCTACACCGACTAAATCACTGCTTAACCTTCTCAGCTTCAAGGAGAATTATCTGAGCTTTGGATAAATCTCCACAAAACAGAAATCCATCTTTATTTTAATTTATTCATGGGGTGTAGTCTTACCCTTGGAGAAAGTGGTGGTGAGCTGCCCTCCTGAACTGCTGTAGTCCATGTGCTACAAATACACTACTGTGTTTTTTGGACGATCATGTCTTCCAGCCTTACAACCCTCCCCATTTCTGGAATCTCCTCCAGCCTCACAAACTTTCCGATCTCTAATCTCCTCCAGCCCCAACAAAACTTCCTTCCTCTGTAATGTCCTTCAGCCTAGTGGTATTATCACTGGACTGTTAATCCAGAGACCCAGATAATGCCTGGGGATCTGGGTTCGAATCCCGCCATGACAGATGGTGGAATTTGAATTCAATAAATATCTGGAATTAACAGTCTAATGATGACCATGAATCCATTGCCAATTGTCAGAAAAATCCATCTGGTTCACTAATGTCCTTTAGGGAAGGAAACTGCCATCCTTACCTGGTCTGGCCTCCATGTGACTCCAGACCCACAGCAATGTGGTTGACTCTTAACTACCCTCTGGGCAATTAGGGATGGGCAATAAATGCTGCCTAGCCAGCGATGCCCTCATCCCGTGAATGAATCAAAAGAAACCTCTAGCACCAGCCCTTACAACCATCCCTGTCATCTTCTACAGCCTCAGAACCGTCCCTATCTCTAATATTCTCCAGCCTCACAAATCCCTGAGATATGTACTTTCTCCCAAAACCATTCTGATGAGGATACCCCATTTTCATTACTCCACTTGATGGTAGCACTTTCAGATTCCGCACCCAGAGCTCCAGAATTTCTTTCTAAAGCAGCCCACTTCTCTACCTTACTTTCCTCCTGAAGAACATTGACCAATCATGTGTCATCTATTCTAATATCACCTTCTTTGACCTGGTTTCAACTGGTGCTTCTCATATTCCTACATCAAGTATTTCCGACAGAAAAAGGCTCAGAGGCCCATCGAGTCTGTGCCAGTTAAAAAAAAACTAACTATTCTGATCACATTTTCCAGCACTTGGACCATAGCATCGTCTGCTTTTGCATTGTAAGTGTGCATCTAAATATGTTTTAAATATTATCAGGATTTCTGCTTCTACCACCCTTACAGACAGTGAGGTTCAGTGTAATTGTCACTGCATGATGACATCATACACAGGTTCACAGAGCGTCTGGGTCTGTGCAAACCAGAGACCATCACACACTGGGAAGGATGGGAGGGGCCCGGAGAGGGTGCAGAGGAGATTTACCAGAATAGTTTGTAGGATGAGGGATTTTAGTTGCACGGTTAGGGTTTGTTTAAAAGTATTATTCATTCATATGACATGGATGTTGCTGGTACACATCGAGAATATCCATCTACAACAGATGGACACTCCTTCTCAACCTCTCCCCTCAACTGCAGTGTGGTAACCTTCAGGTTAAACCACCACCAGTCATTTCTCTCTAATGAGAGAGAGCAACCCTATTGTCTGGTAGGACAATGGTGAGGAGAGAGGCTATGTTGAAGATGGCAGATGGGACACCAGTCAGGTACAGCACTTTGTCCTGGAGTATTTTCACTTTCTTTCATTTCTGTTGGGGGCTGCACTGATGCAGGCAAATGGAGAATGTTCCAACACAATCCTGATGAGTGTCTTATAGACAGCAAACATACATTGGGGAAATAAAGTGTTTGGAGAAACTGAGATTGTTCTCCTTGCATCAAAGGAAATTGAGGAGAGCTTTGGTACAGGTGGTTATAGAAGATATACATTAGCATGATAAAACCTACACTCATCGGCTGAGCATAAAAGGATTGCAGGACAGAGCCTGAAGGTTTTGGGGAAAATCTGTGAGAATGGGGTGATTTAAGGGAGAAATTTTATGCAGCAAGTGAGAATGAGCAGGAACACAATACTCACACACAATGCGGATATCCAGGCTCTGATGAATAAAGTAATTCTGTGAGTTTGGCATTACAGTTATTGAGATTCCCACCTGCAAGTCCACTTGTAATATCCTGTAACACAAGTTCATAAAATACATCACTGTCAGTCTCGGGTAAAAATTCCCAACATCCCCTCCTCCTGGCCCAGGATGACTGTACATTCTCCTTGTGGAGATCAGCAGTCAATTCAGGGGGAAAACTGAGGGTTTCTACTATGGGACATCATGTGACTCTACTTTTCTATTGTAAAGTTACAGCAGTGCGTTTTTTTTGATTAGCTGTTTTGTTGAGATCTGTCTCTTGATTAAAATTTAAAAATATAAAACAGATAATGAGTTTATCCTGGAAGTGTGTTTTGTAGAGCAGTGAGACAGCTATTTTCAGGGTCTGTAGATTGTTAAGGTGCAAAGAGGGCGTTTACTAGACTGATGTGTTCTTCCTGTCTGATACAGGACATTAGGGAGAATTTCCATGTTACTGATAATTATGTCTGCATGAAGTGTGTTTGACTGTGAATCCTACCGGTTCGCATGAATCAGTTAGAGGCAGTGAGGAATTTACAGAAGCCGCTTTCCTACCATCCTGAAACTACCATCCATACCAATCAGTGCTAGTTTCATGATGGTAGCAAAGCCGCAGATACAGTAAGATAGATGGGATACCTCCAAGAACAGTAGGGGAGGTAGGCAGGTGGTGCAGGAGTCTCCTATGGCTATCCCCATCTCAAACAAGTATGCTGTTTTGGAAAATGTAGGCAATGAAGGAATCTCAGGGGAATGTAGCACTGACAGCCAAGTTTCCGGTTCTGAGACTGGCTCTACTGTAACGAGGGGTATGTCAGGTTCCAAGTGATCAATTGTGATAGGGGACTCTCTAGTTAGAGGCAGAGACAGACATTTTTAGGGCTGACTGCGAGACATCAGAATGGTGCGTTGCCTCCCTGGTGCCAGGATCAAGGATATCTCAGAGAGGGTGCAGAATATTCTCAAAGGGGAGAGGGGCCAGTAGGACGTCATTGTACACATTGGAACCAATGACATAGGACAAGGAAAGGACGAGGTTCGAAGGAGAGAATATAGGAAATTAGGCAGGAATTTCAAGAGTAGGTCCTCAAGGATTGTAATATCCGGTTGGATGTGGGAGATTAGGGAGAATTTAAACGTTACTGATGATTATATCTGCAGGAAGTGTGTTTGGTTGCGAATCCAATCGGATCACATGGATCAGTTGGAGTGACACTTAAGAGGTAATGAGGAATTTACAGGAGTAAGGTGTGATGGATGGCAGTTTCAGGAAGGGAGAAAAAAAATTGCAGAGATAGGTAGATTTGTTGCCTCCAGGAAAGGTAGGAGGGGGTTGGTGCCACGAGCTACTCAGCGTAGGAATAGTAGGATAGAGCAGATGAATACGTGGCAGAGGAGCTGGCGTAGGGAAGAAGCATTCACATTTTTGGGTAATTGGAATCTCTTCTGGAGTAGAAGTGACTGTACAAGAAGGGTGGATTGCACTTGAATTGGAAAGAGACTAATATACTAGCAGGAAGATTTTCCAGAGCCATCCAGGAGGATTTATAATTGTAAAGGGGAGGGTCGTGGTGGGACTCAGAGATAGTGGGAAAAGAGATCAGTCGAAGACTGGTGCAGTTTGAAAAAGGAGTAAAATAGTCAGGGCAGGCAGATACAAAGCAGAGAAGGTGATAGTACTGGATAAATTAAAACGGCATTAATTTCAATGCAAGAGGCCTAACAGGTAAGGCAGATGAACTCAGGGCATGGCTGGGAATATCAGCCTGGGATATCATAGCAAATTCAGGAATGGACAGGACTGGTAACTTAATGTTCCAGGTTATAGGTGCTATAGGAAGAACAGAAATGGGGGCAGGAGAGCAGACGGATGCCATTTTTGATTTGGGATAACATTACAGACTGTACTTAGGGAGGATATTCCAGGGCATATGTCCAGTGAGGTTATTTGGGTGGAACTGAGAATTAAGAAAGGGATGATCACCTTAATGTGATTGTACTATAGAAACCCCATTAGTCAGTGGGAAACTGAGAAGCAAATTTATGAGGAGATCTCAGTTATCTGTGAGAGTAAGAGGGTGGTAATGGTAGGAGATTTTAACTTTCCAAACATAGAGTGGGACTGCTATAGTGTTGAGACTTAGATGGACAGTAATTTGTTGAGCGTGTACAAGAAAATTTTCTGATTCAGAATGTGGATGTACCTACTAGAGAAGGAGCAGAACATGACCTACTCTTGGAAAATAAGACAGGGCAGGTGGCTGAGGTGTCAGTGGGGAGGACTTTGGGGTCAGAGATTATAATTCTATTATTTTCAAAACAGTGATGGAAAAAGAATAGACCAGATCTAAAAGTTAAAGTTCTAATTTGGAGAAAAGCTGATTTTAACAGTATTAGGCAAGAACTTCCAAAAGTTAACTGGGGGCAGATATTCACAGGTAATGGGATGGCTGGCAAATGGAAGCCTTCAAAAATGAGATAATGAGACTCCAGGGACAGGATGTTCCTGTTAGGGTGAAGGGCAAGGTTGGTTAGTGTAGGGAATGCTGGATGACTATAGAAATTGAGGTTTTGGTCAAGAAAAAGAAGAAAGCATATGTCAGGTACAGACAGGAGGGATCGAGTGAATCCCCGCAAGAGTATAAAGCCAGTAGAAGTTTACTTAAGAGGGAAATCAGAAGGACAAAAAGGGGATATGAGATAGCTTCAGCAGATAGGATTAAGGAGAATCCAAAGGGATTCGATAAATAAATTATGGACAAATGGGTAACTAGGGAGCGGATAGGGCTCCTTAAAGCTCAGCAAAGCTGCGTATGTGTGGAACCGCCGGAGATGGGGGAGATACTAAATGAGCATTTTGCATCAGTGTTTATTATCGAAAAGGATATGGAAGATAGAGAATTTTGGTGAAATAAATAGTGATGTCTTGAAAAATGTCCATATCACATAAGAGGTAGAGCTGGATGTCATAAAACGCATAAAGGTGGATAAATCCCACCTCAACAGATGGTGTAACTTAAATTCAATTAAAAAAACTGGAATTAAAAATCTACTGAGTACCACGGAACCATTGCCAATTGATGAAAGAAATACCTAATGTCCTTCAGGTAAAGAAATCTGCTAACCTCACCGTGTCTGGCCTACATGTGACTTCAGAGTCACAACAACATGATTGACACTCAACTGTCCTCTGAAATGGCCCAGCAAGTCACTCAGTTGTATTAATCATCATGAAGTCTAAACAAAGGAGTGGAACTTGAAGGACCACTTGGTATCTACAAAGGCACCAGAAGAGATAATTGCAGAATCAGCCCAATCAATGATGCAAAGTCTTCCTTACTGACATCTGGCAGCTAGTGCCGAAATTGGGAGAGCTGTCTCACAGATCAGTGAAGCAACTGCCTGACATGGTCATACTGACAGAATCATACCTTACAGGCAATGACCCAGACACATCATCACCATACCTAGATTTGTCCTGTCCTACCAATAGAACAGACCCAGCAAAGGTGGATGGACAGGAAGAATTTATGGTGGGAGTCCTCAATATTGATTCCGGACCTCATGAAGTCTCATGGCTTCAGGTTTAACATGGGTAAGGAAACATCCTGCTCATGAACATGCACCATCCTTCCTCAGCTGATGAATCAGTACTCTGCCATGTTGAGCAATACTTGGAGGAAGCTTTGAGGGTAGCAATGGCACAAACCATATTCTGAGTGGAGGATTTCAACGTCCAACACCAAGAGTGACTCTGCAGCAGCACTACTGATTGAGCTGGTTAGATCTTATGGATTATAGCTGCGCAACTGGATGTGCAGCCGATGGCGAAAGAGCTAAAAAGAGGGAAAAACATACCTGACATAATCAAAGAACAAGAACAAAGAACAATACAGCACAGAAACAGGTCCTTCAGCCCTCCAAGCCTGCACCGCCACATTTTGCCCTTCCATACTAAAACTGTCTTCGTTACAGGATTCATATCACTCTATTTCCTTCCTTTTTATGTATTCATTCAGGTACTTCTTGAATGCTGCTATTGTGTTTGCTTCCACCACCTCCAACGGCAGTGCCTTCCAGGCCCCCACTACCCTTTGTGTGAAAACAAATTGCCTCGCACCTTGCTTTTAAACTTTCCCCCCTCACACCTTGAACCTGTGTCCCCAAGTCATTGACCCCTCCACCCTGGAAAAAAGCCTCATACTTTCCTCTATCCATGCTATTCACAATCTTATAAATTCCTTCAGGTCACCCCTGAACTTCCTGTGTTCCAGTGAAAACAAACATAGTTTATTCCACCTTTCTTCATAGCTAAAATCCCCCATACCAGGCAACTTCCTGGTAAACCTTTTCTGTGCACTCTGCAAAACATCCACGTCCTCTGGTAGTGTGGTGACCAGAACTGTACACAATATTCCAAGCACAACCTAACTAAAGTTCTATGAAGCGGTAGCATAACTGGTCTATCCTTATAATCAATGCCCCTTCCAATGAAGGCAAGCATGCCATAAGCCTTTTTTACTACCTTTTATCTACCTGCGGTGCTACCGTCAGTGATCTGTGGACCTGCACACCCAGATCCCTCTGCATTTCAGTACTCTTAAGGGTTCTTCCATTCACTGTATAACTTCCACCTGTACTTGACTGTCCAAAATGCATCATCTCAAATCTGAGTGGATTAAACTCCATCTGCCACTTTTCTGACCATGTCTCTGATTGATCTATATCTGCTGTATGCTCCGATAATCCTCCTCACAACCCATCTTTGTATCAACTGCAAAATTATTAATTAGATCAGCTACATTTTCCCCAAATCATTTATGTAGACCACAAATGGCAGAGGTCCCAGCACCAATCCCTACGGAACACCACTAGTGACAGCCCTCCAATCCGAAAAGCACCCTTCCATCACTATCCCCTGTCTCCTATGACTAAGCCAGTTCTGTATCCATCTTGCCAGCTCACTCTGTATACCATGTGACTTCACCTTTTGTACCAGTCTACCATGAGGGACCTTGTCAAAGGCTTTACTGAAGTCCACGCAGACATCACCTGCTTTTCACTCATCAATTCTTTTCGTCAGCTCCTCAAAAAACTCGATCAAGTTAGTGAGGGACGACCTCTCCCACACAAAACCATGCTGTCTATCATTAATAGGTCCATTTGCTTCTAAATGAATATAGAACTTGTCCCTGAGAATCTTTTCCAATAAAGCTCACAAGCTTGTAATTTCCTGGATTATCCCTGTTACCTTTCTTAAACAATAGGACAGCATTGGCTATTCTCCAGTCTTCTGGGACCTCACTTGTGACCGGTGATGGGCAATTAAACAATTCACTGGAGACGGCACCACAAACATCACCATCCTTACTGATAGAAGAGTTCAACACATCCATGTAAAAGATAAGACTACTGCATTTGCGGCAATCTTCAGCCAGAAGTGCCAAGTGGATTATCCCTCTTGGCCTCCTCCGGTGGTCCCCAGCATCACAGATACCAGTCTTCAGCCAATTCAATTCACTTCACAATGTCAAGAAACGGACAAAGGCACTAGATAGTGGAAAGGCTATGGGCCCTGTCAACATTCTGGCAATAGTACTGATAACTTGTGCTCCAGAACCTGCCACCTACCAAGTCAGGCTGTTCCAGTAATGCTATGGCACTGGCATCTACCGACAACATGGAACATTGCCCAGGTATGTACGGCACGAAAATGCAGGACAAATCCACCGACCAATTACCATTCCATCAGTCTACTCTCCATCATCAGTAAAGTGATGGAAGGTGTCATCAAGAATGCTATCCAGCAGCACTGGCTCAACAATAACCTGCTCAGTGATGCCCAGTTTGGATTCCATCAGGGCCACTCAATTCCTGACCTTGTTACGGACTTGATTCACAAATTGACAAACAGCTAAATTCCAGAGTCGAGGTGAGAATGACAGCCCACTCCTGCACCAAAACTATCTATTTCCATTTCAGTGGCATCACCCAACTCCATCCTAGTATCAGCATATCTGCTGAAACACCCATCCATTCCTGTGTTACCTCTGGACTTAACTATCAAAGCACATTCCCAGCCAGCTTCCCACATTCAACATCCTTCTAATCTCAAAAATATCTAAAATTCTGCTGCCAACATGCTCATTTGTACCAAGACATGTTCATTCATCATCCCTGTGCTCCCTGGCCTACAAAGGCTCCTATTTATAAGCAACAATTTAAAATTCCACATTTGATTTAATTCCAAGTTGTGATCATCCCTGTCTCACTGCCTCTACAACTTACCTAGTTTCAGACTCCAAAAATGCAATAATTCATTGCTTCACCATTGGCGGCTGTTTCTACAGTTGCCAGGCAACATGGTATGGAATGCCCACCATGAACCTCTCAGGTTTGCTTTCCTCCTTTAAGATATTCCTGAAAATCTGCTTATTTGGTAATGGTTTTGGTCACGGTCACCTGACCTAATGTATACAACTGTGGTCTTATGTCAAAAGTTCCTTAATAATGTTTCTGTGAAATTATAAACATGATAAAAATACAAATTGTTTTTGAATTCGGACATATACCATCAACTCTTCACTATCGTTGGGTGAATGATCTGTAACTTCTTACCTAACCGCATTGTGGGAGCACCTTCACCGCACGAACTGCAGCAGTACAAGTCAAACGTCACCTTTTCCACAGGCAATCGTATCTCTGAAGGAAGAAACAGAGGTAATGTTTCAAGGATTGCACTATGAACTGCAGGGAATGAAAATTGTGCAGAATTTTACGATCAGAAACTGAAGTCAAATGGACTCTCTCACTGGAAAAAGAATTTCTGACTGTGAAAGACACAGTGGGGAAAATTAATCTGGAAAGAGAGCAGTACATGGTCAGGGGGTGGACAACAGTGGAAAACTCATTTACAAAAGGTCTGTGAAAGTAATAGTAAAATACTAAACAAAGCTAAGATACACTTATTATTAGAGACTGAGAAAGGTGATCAGAGTGCAGAGGTGAATCAGACCAGTGTTAGTTGTTACGATCCCACAATCTGGGAAAGAAATCCAAACGAAACAAACATTTCCGGATCCAACGCATCATCCTCCGACACTTCCGCCATCTGCAATCCGACCCCACCACCAAAGACATCTTTCCCTCCCCACCTTTATCTGCTTTCCGGAGGGACAACTCTCTCCGTGACTCCCTTGTCCGCTCCACACTCCCCTCCAGCTCCACCACACCCGGCACTTTTCCCTGCAACCGCAGGAAGTGCTACACCTGCCCCCATACCTCCTCCCTCACCCCCATCCCAGGCCCCAAGAAGACTTTCCACATCAAGCAGATGTTCACCTGCACATCTGCCAATGTGGTATACTGCATCCGCTGTACCCGGTGTGGCTTCCTCTACATCGGGGAAACCAAGCGGAGACTCGGGGACCGCTTTGCAGAACACTTACGCTCGGTTCGCAACAAACAACTGCACCTCCCAGTCGCGAACCATTTCAACTCCCCCTCCCATTCCTCAGACGACATGTCCATCCTGGGCCTCCTGCAGTGCCACAACGATGCCACCCGAAGGTTGCAGGAACAGCAACTCATATTCCGCTTGGGAACCCTGCAGCCCAATGGTATCAATGTGGATTTCACAAGTTTCAAAATCTCCCCTCCCCCCACCGCATCCCAAAACCAGTCCAACTCGTCCCTGCCTCCCTAACCTGTTCTTCCTCCCACCTATCCCCTCCTCCCACCTCAAGCCGCACCTCCATCTCCTACCGACCAACCTCATCCCGCCCCCTTGACCTGTCCGTCCTCCCTGGACTGACCTATCCCCTTCCTAACTCCCTACCTACACTCACCTTTCCTGGCCCCATCCCTGCCTCTTGGACCTGTTTGTTTCCTCTCCACCTATCCTCTCCTCTATCCCTCTTCTATCCGCCTCCCACTCTCTCCCTATTTATTTCAAAACCCCCTTCCCCTCCCTCTTTTCTGATGAAGGGTCTAGGCCCGAAACGTCAGCCTCTCTGCTCCTATGATGCTGCTTGGCCTGCTGTGTTCATCCAGCCCTGCACCTTGTTGTCTCGGATTCTCCAGCATCTGCAGTTCCTACTATCTCTGAAACATTTCTCTTTGTTTGAATTCGCTGTGTAAATCCTCCCCTTAACACTCTCTGGCGGGGAATGCTGGGTATGCATCCCGCTGAAATTTGACCCGCCTGAAATGCACAAAGTTGGCGGCCGCGCACGTCTCCCGCAGATCATTGCCCCCAATAAAGATGGCGGCGGTCACCGGGCCTATCGCCATCTGAGACATTTTACCATTTGCTGCAAACACGGGACTGGGAGTTTTACATAACAAGGTGTAGAGCTGGATGAACACAGCAGGCCAAGCAGCATCAGAGGAGCAGGAAAGCTGACGTTTCGAATCCAGACCCGAAACATCAGCTTTCCTGCTCCACTTATGCTGCCTGGCCTGCTGTGTTCATCCAGCTCTGCACCTTGTTATCTCAGACTCCAACATCGGCAGTTTGTACTATCACTGTGTGCTTTCCAACTTTCATTAAGTTTTTGTATAACCTCTCAGCTCATCCCAGCACCATTTCCCTCCCGCTATCTGCTGTATAGTTCTTTCTTTACCGTACCCTGCACCTTCCGCACACTCCCAACCCTTGGTCGCAACGATAGTGCACTACGTGTGGGAACAATCACGTGGTTTACTTTCGTCTTGCCCCTCGTTCCCTGTTTGGTTGGAGGGCCCGCCACCACTGCCCCGCCCTCCAGCCTCCTATTGGTCTTACGCTGACATCAATCACCCGGGTGCAAATACGAGCTGGAGCATGCGCAGTTTTTCCTGCTTTTGCTGCTGTTCGTCAGCTCCAAGTGTGATGGTTCATTCTGAGGTTGGGAAGGAATGTCTCATTCGTGTTTCTCCTTATGTACAGCAATAACAACAACTAATTGCATTCAATGGAACTTTTCGCATTGTCAAATCCACGAAGGTGGTTCACGGATGATCGAAACGTTGATTAAAAGATCGACTTTAAGACACATCTTATGGGAGGACAAAGAGGTTTAGGGAGGGAATTGCAGAGGCTAGTGTCTTCGGCAGCTCCACTCATGGAGTGGGACGGAAAGGGAACATAGAAAAGGGAATTGAAGTAGTGCAGGGAATGCATAGGAACTTCACGACAGAGGAGATTCCAGAGTCTGTCTGTCAGAGATATTATGGCTGCCTCATGAGCCTTGAAGCATGGCACTGCAATGGGTGCATGCAAGCATGACGACAGCGCTACAGGAGATTTCTGCTGCCTTAAGCAGAGTGACAGGTCTTGTATCTGTGGACTTACAAAATGACACTGAATTCCACCAAACAGGTCTGAGGTAGAGTTGGGCTATGATGAGATGCTGCTCTGGGGGGATGGAGGGGAAAGGAGTGGCAAGGAAGTGGTAACTCCGTCCAAAACTATCCCCCTTCTCACTATTTTCACCCCCAAACCGAGGGAGTACCAACCAAATCACCTGCTTATCCCACCACAACATCCTGTGCTACAATAGCTGTGTCTGACCCTGCACAAGGAATAATGGAACAGTCTTTACCGGGACCCATTGCAGCTCTGAAACTCTGGATGAAGACCGAAATCATCTGAGCAGTGAGAACGGGAATTTGAGAAGACGTCTCCGCCTCTGCTGCATCCTCCAGGATACATCAAGTAGAAACAATTGGAAGCATGTAGACTACAAACTGTAACTGATCATATGTGTGTGCTCGTTGTGCAGGGGAAGGGTTTGACAAAATATTCGGTTTCTTTTTTAAATAGACAGAAATGTAAGGATTGGAACTACTTTCAGCCCTTGTCCATTCACACATCCTCAGGGCCAGCTCCCACTTTCACTGGCTTCATGCGCAATTTTGCAAGGTTGACCAACAAGAGAAGATTTAACATTTAATTTGATTGTTAGAAGCTAACATAGATTGTTGTTAGAATCTTCCATTTGCTGTACAGTAGATAAACAAACCTTAGAAAACAGATCAGAAAGATGCCAAGTTAGAGATCCTGGGATTTTAAGTCAAGCTTGAAAAGGCTTCCTGCAGCTAAAAGACAAAGGCACTGTTATCAGCGAACAGTGAAATATTGGAAATGAGTGACAGCAGGTGTAGTAGCGCTGGGGAAATAGGAAAACAGAATAATGACAAAAATGCAGACCATCACGTGTTAAGTAAGGTGTGTTGTTCATATGAACAGTAACTGGGCACAGGGCGGGGTTATTCAGATAAGAATAAGGATTTTAAAAAAAAACTCAATAAATGACTGTGCAGTGGAGAGTAACCAGAATCAGAAAATGGAGACCCAAGAGAGAAAGAGCTTGAAGACTGAGGCTGCAAAAGCTACGAGAAATCCTTTTAGCGCTCTGCTATCTAGTTATTGACACGAGCAGCACAACCCAAGTAAACTACCGTCTGAATTTATCACTGTCATTTGCCTGACCGCACATAAACGTCTACTGACTTTGTCTCAATAAAGCTGATAGTTGATTCAGAACCCAGCCTTGCTACCAAGTCTGCTTCTGCCTGAAAAGGAGTGCAGATCACAAAATAAGACAATGCTAAATATCAATCCAGCTGGGAGCTATTGGTGGATGACTATTGGTTGAAGGAATTTTCAGCGCACAGGGAGGGGGGCAGTTCTTATGGGTGTTGGGAAGCGTTCATTCTGAAAAGTTCAATCTCAAACAGTGACAATGAATTTACTACTTTGTTGCTATGCCTTTCCCTGTTTTTGGTTTTTCAAATGAAACTTGAGTGTGCAGATCATAGGGCCATAATATATGAGAGCATAATTAGGCCATTCAGCCCATCAAGTCCGCTCCACCATTCAGGCATGGTTAATCTGTTTCTCAACTCTATTCTCCCCATAACCCCTTGATCCCCTTACTAATCAAGAACCAGTCTATCTTAAAAACATTCAATGACTTGGCATCCACAGCCTTCTGCAGCAGAGTTCCGCAGGTTCAGCACATTCAAGCTGAAGAAATTCCTCCTTACCTCAGTTCTAAAAGTGTCATTCTTTCACTCTGAGGCTATACCCTGGGATTCCAGTCTGTCCTAGTGTGGAAACATCTTCTCCACGTCCACTCTATCCAAGCATCTTTGTATCCTCTATTTCAATGGGATTCTCACTAATACTTCTAAACTACATTGAGTACAGACCCAAAGTCTGCAAGACCTTCTCAAATGACAAACCCTTCATCTCTGCGATTATTCTTGTAAATCTCCAATGACAACACATCATTCCTTAGAAGTAGAGCACAAAACTGATCACAATATTCCAAATGTAGTCTGACCAGAGCATTGTACAGCCTCTTTTTCTCAACTTCAACAAGTGTGAGGTTCTCATGGAATTTATTTGTCACTCAGTCAGACAATCAGTTCCCTCTAGCTGAAGATATCCACCTTCTCTCAATTGTAATGTGCTCTTATTTCATGCAGAGGCTGTACCCTCAGGTTCTAGTCGCTCCTACTCTGAAAAATGTTCTCCAAGTCCACTCTGTCCGGGCCTCTCAGTATCATTTACATTTCAATAAGATTCTCCACTCTAAACTCCATTCTCCACTCATCCACTTTCTTTCTAAACTCCATCAAGTACAGACCCAGAGTCCTCAATTGGTTAGGCCACTTTTGGAATACTATTAAACTTGAACGAGTGCAGAGAAGATTTACAAAGATGTTGCTGTGGCTGGAGGGCTTGAGCTTGACAGGGGCTGAATAGACTGGGGTTATTTTCCCTGCAGCATCAGAGGTTGAGGGGTGACCCTGTAGAAGTTTAGAAAATCAAAAGGGGGTGGAAAGGGTGAATATTCAAGGTCTTTCCCACAGATTAGGGAAGTCCAACACTAGAAGGGTTAGGTTTAAGATGTGAGGGGAAAGATATAAAAGGGACTTAAAGGCCAGCTTTTTCACGCAGAGGGTGGTATGAACATGGAATGAATGGCCAGAGGAAGTGGTGGAGGCTGATAAAATTACAACATTTAAAAGGCATCTCATGGCACACCTGTGAATACGGCAGCAAGTCCATGGGTGATTTCAGGAGCTGTAATTTGCTGTTAATTACATCCAGGTTATAAACATGTTAAAACATCCAGCCTAGCTTTAGGTGATAATACTATAGGTAAAGATAATTATTTGGATTTTGCATTGAACACAAAGTCTACTGAATCTATTAAATATCCCAAACAAGTCCTTTTAAATATAAGGCAGAAAACGAGATGACCCCGTAATATATGTAATACAGTACTAATGGATAACTTCAATTCCCATACACACTGGGTGAACAGAATCAGCATGAATGTTGTGGAAAGTGAATTTCTGCAGTTTTTACTGAAGCATTTCTGATTTACATTTTAGATTGAGTATTCTGTAAAGTGAAGGGTCTTAATATCCTTTCAGTCAAGGAGCCTTTGCTAAGTAGTGACCATAATGTGGAATTTTAAACAAGTTTGAAAGTGATATAGTTCATTCTGGAATTACAGCCTCAATCTGAACAGTGGAAAGCATGGTGTGGCAAGCTGGCCGTGAAGAATTGGCAAAATACACAAAATGATTTGAAAGTACACACGGAGTAGCGAGTATTTGAATAAGTATCACATGGTTTAGAACAGTTATGCATCTCTTAAAGACAGAAGTACGCAGCAGAAAAAATAAATCAGGTATGATTGACAAAAGGATGGATAAGTTACTTTGGATCAAAGGAAGTGGTTTGTAAGGTTGCAAGAAAAAGTGAAAAAGCAGGGATATGGGAATAATTTATAACCCAACAAAGGATTGCCCAAAAATTGATGGAAGGGGAAAAGAGAAGATGTATAGAAGCTCACAGGAAACATAAAGATGGACTGTAAAAATTGTTCCGGTATGTGAAATGCAAAAATGCAAAAGTCTACTGGATTGGCACCCCAACCATCAGCTCCAACTTTCACTCCATCATCACAGATGCACAGTTGCAGAAGTATGTGCCATCTCCAAGATGCACTACAGTAATTCATCAAGGCTCCTCCAAAATAACCTTCTCATGACCTTTTACACTGACAACAACAGTAGATGCATGGGAACAACACATAATTTAACTCCTCTCTCAACACATACTGCACTGTGACTTGGAACAAAATCACCTTCTTTCACCATAACTGGGTCAAGAATACAGAACTCTGTTTCTAATAGCACTGTGGGTGCCCTGACACCAACATTCAAGAAGGAAGTTCCCCACCACTTTCTCCTAGGCAGTTATGTTTGGATAATAAATGCTAGCAGCACCAGCAACACCCACATCAAATGAACGAATGAAAAAATGAAAGGAGCGATACTTCATTGAGATTGAGCATTTGTAAAGGATATTGCTGGGAAAATGGAGTCAGTAGCTGTTTATGTTAAGGTCTTTCAAAATTGTCACATACATACAGGGCCTGTTTTCTCTTTGGTGCAATGAACTTGTGCTGTTTTAGTGAAAGAACATTGGCAGCCTCATATGAATATGTCCAGTGACTAACCATCACCCTAATTAAATTTTAAAAGTACAACATATGCCCTATCAAGCCAGATTTTACTCTGAAATTTGACTTCCGCAGTATTACCATCAACTGGGATGATATCGTTTGGAGGATACGCAGTGAACTCATTGAAACTTCAAAGATCCTTACAGTATGGGTGTTGAT